ACAGCGCTAGTCAAGTCTCCTAATATACCTGGTAAGTTTATATACATGACGTAGGTCACATAGTACAGGCCGAGTCTGTAGCAGCTGGGGGCTGGAGGAGTTTAGCTGAAAAGCACTACCTATCTTTAAACATTTTTGTTAATATTCCTTCTTTTTTTAATTGGTCCTCCCGCTCAAACATTGTTATTGGACGGTGGTGGTGGGAGAGCTGGGCAGATGTACCCAAGTGAAAAAGAGGCACAAATTTGACATTTTATGTACTGGTACATATTTTGTTTGGGTAGTGATGAATATCAATACAATTTTTGAAATGTACACAATTCCAAAATATTTTTTTTAAACAAATCAATGCTTTATAATACAAACAAATTATTTTGAGTGATATCAAATTCATATTAATTATTTGAATATGACAAAACCAGAAAAATATTAAACCAGGCAATACAAGTGAACCCATAAATTATTGATTTTATTGCCTTTAATTGGTAACATATCCGTCAATGAACTAATTAAGTCAGATAATTAATTTAATGAGCACCAATGGTGTATTATGGTTCAGAGTCAGTCTGGTAATGTGGCCACATGTGACTTTTACCATAATCAACCATCCATGTGGGGAAAAATTGAGGAAAATGGTGAAAATACATGATTTTTAAAGAAAATTCTCATGGTGGGGGTGGGTTTCGTGAAGCCCAAAAAAAACCTCTGGATCACTGATTAGTGAGCCATTAAAATTTCAATTGTCATAATAGCCTACCCTGCTCATTTACGTCACAGTAACCCTCTAAGTGCTAACTCCATCACAACAATGCTTTAACCAATAGACTGTAACTAATTCAATTTTCTCACCAATGACACAGTCCCCATTTTTTATGTAAAACATTGAATTATTACATTAAACCTGAATTATTATTACACAAGATCCAGGACAGAAAGAGAAAGTAAATATTGTCTGAAAACAGCAGTTTAACACAATTTCTACCAACAATTCATCTTTACAAAACTAAAGGTCTAACTTGAACCTCTCCGAGACTTGGCTTATAATGGGAGACGATAAAAGAACCATGATTTTAGGTAAATCAATCAGGCACTAATAACAATGTCACCCTCCAGACATTTTAATCATCAGTATATGAATCTATAATTAATATTTAAACACAGGTAGAAGTTTCAAAATATCAGCTGAAGAGATCCAAGCTAACAGTACTTTGATGCTGGTAATATTATTTCAATCAGCTCAAATGGACAGCCTGTATCAACTCAAGCAAACTAGCTAATTGCCCATTTCAGAAGATCAAATTGGTGATTACAGTACACTAAACCCAATTTCATCTCTGAACTTAAAGAAATGTCCCAAGTAATTCATTTAATGCTAACAATAGTTACTGGATGTGGTCTCCTTAATGTATATACTTTACATATGCTTACTTCTGAAAAAGCATTCTGATGTCTGGCCTCTAGATTTGTATCTATACACTTTTAAATGCTTACATATTCCTCTTATTTTGTACCTATCCCTCTAAATGTGTACCTGTCCCTCTAAAAGTGTACCTATCCCTCTAAAAGTGTACCTATCCCTCTAAAAGTGTATGTATCCCTCTAAAAGTGTACGTATCCCTCTGAATGTGTACCTGTCCCTCTAAATGTGTACCTATCCCTCTAAATGTGTACCTATCCCTCTAAATGTGTACCTGTCCCTCTAAATGTGTACCTATACACTTCTAAATGTGTACCTATCCCTCTAAATGTGTACCTATCTCTCTAAATGTGTACATGTCCCTCTAAATGTGTACCTATCCCTCTAAATGTGTACCTATCCCTCTAAAAGTGTACTTATCCCTCTAAATGTGTACCTGTCCCTCTAAAAGTGTACAGACCCTCTAAAAGTGTACTTATCCCTCTAAATGTGTACCTTCACCTCTAAATTTGTATCTATACACTTCTAAATGTGTACCTATGCCTCTTATTGTGTACAAACCCTTCTTAATGTGTACCTGCCCCTTTAAATGTGTACCTATCCCTCTAAATCTATACCAACATCCTCTAAATCTATATCAACATCCTCTAAATGTGAACCTACCCCTCTAAATATATATCAACTCCCTCTAAATGTGAACCTGCCCCTTTAAAATGTGTATCAACACCTTCTTAATGTGTATATACCTGTCCCTTTAAATCTATATCAGCACCCACTTAAGGTGTCTACCCCTCAAACGTGTTAACACCGTCTCAATGTATCTACTGTATTTGTAGCCTAAATCCTGTTTTCTGTAAAAAGACCTAAATAAAAGATCATTTGTGAGCCTTTTTAATGAACTGCATTTGACATGGGTCTGTTTATAACCTGACATTGGCTTATTATAGGATAAATACAGTACTCGATCTTTTCAATGTTTATCTAACTCCTCTAAATTTGGATCTAGCCTTCTAGCTTCCCCTTAAATAGGCACCAATCCCCTTCTATTGTGTACCTCATGCACAAGGCCTGTGAATGAATTCTAATATTTTTCTTTGAAATTTCCAAATTCGATTAATTTGCTTTAACTCGGCCTTATCTTCAAGTTAAATGGCAAAGAAATTGATGTCTACTAAGTCTAATGACAAATTAATGTGTCAGACTGTAAAATAAATACAAAACGTACTAATATGTCCTTGTGTATGAAATAGTCATACAAGACTTACTGTCTTTAATGCTACAAACCCAGTTTGATCTGTTTAAGAGAATTCAATACACCTACTATCATCTATAATTTGAAAAGTTCACAAAGTCATTATCCTCTTTTGAACAGGATAGCAGACCTGGAAATCATGTGAACAAGAATGTATTTCATATTAATTATTCATTTTTTTGAAAATGGTTTTTTTTCTTAATTTAATTTCAATTGAACCTGTACATGCATCTGTACTACAAGCTATAAATCAAATCTGAGATTGTTTATTTATGAGGAATTTCATAAGGAAAATGGTGGTCTAATAGAACTGTACACGTTTAAATGTCATATATATGAACCACATAATAGGTATTATTTGTAACTTTTTGTTGATTTTTTTACTGTATGGGTGTGGCCCATCACTCCATATATACCTACCTGGATTTATATGCAACTTTTTATTCAATCACCCTGCATACCTTTCGGTATCCACACTCACAGCGAAGTACCCCGCCTACTCAACCAACCTACACAACATTGACGTTGGCTCTATCTCGCATGATATATATATAAATATACGTTCATGTACGTTTTATGTTACATTTCATCCAAATTTCAACAGTAAGGAGAGGGATCAAACTTTTTATTAAATAAGTAAGACATGAAGCATTTGAATATCAAATACTGGTATGTAAATTTCCTGTAGATGTTTGAGCGTTAGGAGGTATGTTTATTTTAGTAAAAAAATGTTCATCTAGAATATTCATCAACAAGAATTGGATTAGAGGTTTAGGGATATTATCAGTAAATAAAAGTTTGTAATATTCCTTAAATAAATTCCAATTTATGTTAAACCTGCATGGTACATGTATTATGAAATATATACCTGGAATGTGTAGCAACATATATAACCACGCCTTAGTACTAGTATTCTTGTCGACAGTTACACCTACCCATTTCCCAGATCAGACGTGGAGACAAACCTTCACATCTCGGAACATAATTAGGCTTGTTACCAGGTAAACTTAGAGTAAATACGACACTATTTAGACTGGTTTTATTTGGCCGATTATGGCATCTCTTTTCCATTACATTACATGAACAGGCACAAATTATCAAAATTAAATATATATTATGAAATATTATTTCATATTTAGAGCAATAAAGTTTATAAAAGTCGTTATATACATAGTTTTCTTATTAAATTTTAGAAACAGTATGTAAATTAGGCTCGGAATATCTCCACAGACCCCAACAATGTAAGCTGGTTTGTTTACAATCATGACCTACATAGGTTTTGAGGCATGGCCAGGATGACTCACCCGCTAAAAATACAACATTGCCTCATGCTTTGGAAAATCCCATACACTGTTCTCCTAGAGCAGATCAGGTGATATTGTTGAACTGGGGCCAAATCGATACCATGTGATCATGTGGCCTTACAAAGTACTACACCAATGTCACCCAAATGTTTGTAAATACAGAATGATAATATTACCACCTAAATGTTTGTAAATACAGAATGATAATATGATCACCTATCACATTGTCAACAATACCCAGTATCAATTGCATGATTAGAATTATATATATATATATATATATATACTACAGCATAAATGTTTTAATTCCTCGTATTGTACGGATACCAGGTATTTTTCCATCGGTATTAAATTGTTATTAGTCATATGATAATATCATAAAACTACTTAAAATAAATAATTCATTTTATTCTGATGTAGATTTATTCATTCAATGCAAGTTGGAATCACACATCACTAAAAAAAAATATGTATAGGCCTATATTATAATATATAACTTATATATATATACCTTCCTGGTTCAAATCAAAAGTGATAATTCTGAGACCTAAAGTTTATTATTATGTACACCAGAGATACTATACATTTAAAGTTAATATAATAGGCTATACCATGTGTTTGTCAGCTTATAATTCTGATCTTTCGGATATATTTTCGTTCGTTCAGTCAAAAAAACTATGCATCTTGCCATTCTTGGTACCTATAGTTTTTCATTTTCAAGCTAAATAATCTAATCTTGTATTAATGTATGAGAATATAAGCAGACATGTACCACATACCTGAAAATATTGTATTTGATTTTATCGTTCAAAAGATGGACCCGAGCTGTAGGTCTATCTTTTCTGTTGGTTTCTAGAAACGTCTATACTACATCAGTATAGCTTACTAAAATTAGCTAGGTCTACTGAATGAAGTGATATTATATTATCTGGTTTTAAACGAGGGTCATTATTTTGGTAAAGAAATATAAACAACAAATACTGTCATGATCTTGTAACATCGAACAGAAATAGCCTATCCTTCCAACCTAAGTGACAGCTCATCGGTAAATCGGAATTCCCCTTTCTGACAACGTGGCGTTTGCGCCAAAACTTGGAATCGTTTCAAGCACGTGTGTATAATGCGCATCATTTCCGATACTGTATCGCTGACAAAGTTAGGTTAACAGTGAGTATCCCAGTTGTAAAACTCTTTCATTTCAAAACAATTACCTAAATCATACGTTTCAATTTAGACTGGTAGTTCGCTTTTTCTTTGTGGACCGCTGACCCAGTCAGAACAGCTTTGTTCCATATATGGATATACTACTACGCAATATTTACTACGTCACCAAAACGTCCAATTTTAGCAGGTGCTTGCATCCCATAATATTTGTCGTAACCATTATCAACAAATAATAGCCAATCGTTGAGCGCAAATATTCCTCCGCGTTTACCGGATTTTGTCATGCCAGCAAGGCATGAATCCGAGGAGTCCGAGTGAGAATTGATAAATTCAGCGATGATCTCATATGCAGCCAATCAAAATCATTTCCAGTGATGTCATTTTATTTTTAGGCTGGTGAGTCATTCTGTATAAATACGAGACGAAAGGCAGTTTGAAGCCATACCACATTCTGCCAGCGAAAGAAAAGTTTTGAAAGGGGCGCTGAAATAAGAACATTAAGGAGTGAGTCATATTTTTCTGCACATGGACGTTGTGAAGTATTAGTCATCGATTGACAGTTTTGGAAATATAAATACTGCTGTGAATCAAGGTTTTTAAACAACTTTGATTTTTTGTGAAACAAACTTTCAAAACAACGGACTAGCGAACAATGGAAACGCATGATACAACCTTCTATCACGATCACGGAATAAGCGGCGTGAAGATGGAGAACCAAGTAGTAAGTCAACTTAAACGAAAAATGACTCTAGATTTTGATAGCAGTTCACCGAAATCGAAACAATTGAAAATGGGGAATTTATTACAATCGCCTGACTTGAACATGTTGAAATTGGCGTCTCCAGAATTGGAGAAAATGATAATTCAAGCTAATGGCATGGTGACAACCACACCCACACCAACTCAGTTTCTTTTCCCGAAGTACGTGACAGATGAGCAGGAGGCATACGCCCGGGGATTTGTGGAGGCTTTGGCCCAACTCCATGGTACGAACCCCGAGGATGAAAACGATTTTGATCACGACGACGATCTGTCTGGGTCCGAATCTGATACTTCGTCATTGTCATCGGTCAGTAAGGGTACATATGCACTACCCACAACGTCCACACTGACCTCCCTGAGTACTACCACCACCCTCCCCGGGGGTATCGTGCAAATCAATCACAAACCTGGCTCCCAGGCATCTGGAGGGATCAACAACAGGTTCAGAACCAAGGATGAATCGCAGATAGTCCCAAGTTTTGGATCTTCACCACCTCTCTCCCCAATTAACATGGAGAGCCAGGAGAGAATTAAATTGGAGCGAAAACGTGCTAGAAACAGGGTGGCAGCTAGAAAGTGTCGTACGCGGAAACTTGAGAGAATTTCTCGGTTGGAAGATAGGGTATCAGACTTGAAAGGACAAAATACAGATTTGGCTACAACAGCCACATCTCTCAGGGACCAAGTGTGTAAACTGAAGCAGCAAATTATTGAACATGTCAGCAGTGGTTGTCAAATTATGATGACAAACTCTCTCAACTTCTAAACATGTGCCTTTCCAGTGTGTGAACTGACAATTTGAATGTGTTCGAAAAATTCATTTGAAAGATGATATGTACATTTAAAAGTTTTTATTCTGATAACACATGGAATTCATTTCTGTAGCAATACAGGAGAATTATTTAAATTTTATATTTTATTCAGAAAAAAACCTTTGATCTGAACATATTGATCTAGGACCGAATTTTGCCAGTGCCAAGTGTGTAAAACATAAATGTGATGCAGGTCAATATCGTTTGCATGGTCTCGAAAAAGTCACTGTTTCAATATAACCTAAACTCCTTCGAAGAAGGTAGAATCTTTCTTTCTCTTGTATAAAAAAAATAAGATATATAAACATTTGATTTATTTACAAGTCAAGATAACATGATTTTAAATCATGATAGTTCCTACACATTCTTGTCAAAATGCAATTAAGTGCTCAATAATGTTACTGGGGATGGGTTGGGATATTACGTTTGGAGAAGTGACAGGTTAATATTACAGATAACTGTTTCCAAGTTTTAACTGCAAATTGTGATATTGTTCCATTATCAGTTTTACGCCTCATTACATATACCAGTCTTGTAAATAACACATTTATTATTTTGTTCATTGGTATTGTGTGGATCACAATAGATTTACACCACGATATCCGTATCATTGTATTATTAAATCATTATCATATTATTACAAAGATTCACCTAAATCAAATTTCAATGCTTTGTATGTTATTTTGCATAATTTAAAACTTTTATATGAAATTAAATGTTGATATTTTTGCAGAAATTAAATTGTTTGTGTTTTCTAAAACTATGGTGTATAGTGTAACCTCAATAATCATATATCACAGTGAACTGTGTACTTGGAATCTGTGAAATATCAGATCAAAAAGTCATTCAAACTATTTATTTATAGTTTGGTTTCAAGATTTTCCAATCTGTGATTAATGAGGTTACAACACTCAGTATGGATAATAACCAAGACTCTTGAGACATAATTGCCGCATATCGGTACTAACTTGTAATTGCTACATAGAGAAATTACAGTGACTTCGGCTGATTGACAATACAATACTGAAGATCAGACCTGTGACTTTCTGATAAATTGATTTAAAGACGGAGGCAAACCATCTTTCTTTATGGTACAGACAGACTCCATTCTGAAGAGCTGGAAACATATTTTCCATGACCCTGTATTTAAGTAGAGATATATCTACAATTGATGGAAGTCGACAAAGTAATGCCATGCTATTTTCACACTCCTCAATGATCAGTGTTTTGGAATGTATCTGAATTACTATAAAATTCTATAATTATCTTTGTTTGGCATTGGATTTCATCAACTTCTTGATATATTCATAATATATACATGTATAATGCCAAGTACCTGTACTGGATTGTATATAAAAGTCTGTTGAGCAGAAACAGTGTAAATATCTACTCCAAAACATGTTCAGCTGTTTATAGGATCAAGTGATTATTACCATTACCACTGGCCATGGACAGCTGTCAAAATTACGGTTTAACATTTTAATTGACATATTTTTGATGCAAAGATTACGATTTATGATGATTCTGTAGTCCAGGTATAACAGCTGTCTGTACGATTTAGGTGGTTTCCAGATATTCCATGATGACGTGTTCTATAAATAGTTTTGGATTCCCCTATGTGCAGCACCGTTCCTGGAAGTGTTTAAACACCGACACTGACGCACATTTAGCTACTTTCACTTTTCTTTGTAAACTTTGTGGTACTTAAGCCACATGTTTGCGACTTCCATGAAACACATGTACACACTGCAGAGGATATAGGGTCGTATACAGCCCGAGGTGAAGATTCTGTGTATCTCTAGGTTCAGACAGAGTTCACATGTAATTTACAAAGACATATGTTGACAGTCTATGAAGATGCTTCTAGACAAGAGGCTACGATTATTCTTCCATTGGATTCAGTCACGTCTTGGAAAGTAATCAGATGTCCATGAACCCCCTTCTGTAACATAACACGAAAAATGTGTATTGGCCTAACAGTTTTACTAAATTAAAATGTAAACTTCTCTGAATAAAGGTAACTGAATTGCACACCTTAGAAAATTAAATCGGTAGCAGTGTAAAATTGTCATTTACATGGAGACATAGATCTTATAAGTCTCCGAAAACAGTCGATTCTTTCAGTTATGTAAATTATAATGGTAATTGCATTCATGAATTTTCATTTTATTCACCTGAATTGATTATCAACTTTCACGATTGAGTACCTGAATTTGACAACTTAATATTATAAAAAAAAGTAAATATTGTATCGTGCCTAAACAGTTAACTTATTGTATAAGTGACATGCACTTGCTTGCCTTACAATTATAATTTAAATTATTTACACAAGAAATGCCTCCAGACCGCAATCGTGTTGACTAATGACACACATACTGTTGATGGATTTAACGATGCATGTCGTTTGGTAAGTTGATCAATCGCTGACAGACAACTTGCTTGACATGACGAGTTTCTATGCTATATGGAGTTCGGACATCGAGTGCAAAAGATTGTTTACATATGTCGGTTTATGGCATGTGGGGAGTTAATTCCTGTAGGAACTCTATCTAAATCAGAGATTTATGACGATAGAAACTCTATCGTTATAAATCTCTGATATAGATAAAGTTCCTACAGGAATTAGTGGGGAGTGTATGTTGGGAAGTTGGGGGATGTTGACCGAGACCGAGGCTATTCTTGGATTACCATATATATATGTACATCAAACGTGTATTTGCTGACGTTACCTACGTCACACCTGTATCTGGTCAGATGTACGTCACAGCGTGTCCGGAGGGGACACCTTCTATTGACTTCCTGGTCAAATATTTCCACAGTTAGCCGGTTGTTTTGATTCCGCCGTTTCTTTTTTCTTCAGAAGAAAAGTTACACATGGATGCAATTATAATAACGTGGTTTAAAAAAACAAAAAACGATTTCAAATTTCAGTTAAGGATGATGACAACTTACAATATTTTGATTTCAATCTGAAGTCTAACTGCTTGTATATACTTCTGACACGACTGCTTGTTTGTAGTATGCTAGACTAGTTGTTTGCATTTACTGTTCATTTATTTATTAAAATTGTTTGCTCAAATTTGTGAAACTGAAACATGTGACGTGATAATGATCTACAGCTTTATCTATATGAATTTATTATAACAGCCATACCGGCCGTTCAATATATATACGAATTATAAATTATTTGTGCATGCCTTTACTTTCAATCGCTTAGATATATTTCCGTGTGCCACCTGTTCATTTATCTATACATATAAACTAATACTTAATATTCTAAATGAATACTAAACACCTACTTTTTCTATACCTATAAGTTAACGACGGACGACGCTACGAATTTACGACGAATGACAAAATTTGTGCGATTTTTATTACATTTTAATCGACTTACTTGTATAAGTAAAGTTTATAGGAAATATAAAGGCCATCTATTTAGGCTACGATTTTAATCAAAGAACTTCTGACTCGTTTGCATTCCATTTTAATTTATGAAACAAACTTTATGAGATAACATGTGATAAATACTGTTTAATACAGCCCAACAACCATCTATGTTTGTGACAATGCTGATCTGTAGTACACAACTGGCTGTACCTAGTACCGTAAGTTTTGATAAGTGGCTAAATGTCACATGAAACTTCAAAAAACTGTACGTACAATTATAAAATGTGTACCAATAACCTACAAAATACGACCGTGTTACCCATTTCTGAATCTTCAACTAGAATGTATTGAAGTGTGGATAAATTGCGTTCTCTCTTCTTACATTGTCTAGGAATAGTTTAATTTTCGGTAAATATTTCATCATATTGTATGTGCGCAGCAGACTTTCAGTTTGGTCACATGATATCACGCGATAGCCTTACCGGAACTGTCTAAGTTCCAACAGTTCTATTAATAGTTTTGATGTAAAAAGCGCGTGGTCAATGTTTACGATGTAGTTAATCACGTTCGCATAAACTGGCCAGTTTAAACGGGGAATGTCAAAACAGGGAGTTTATATATATTATATCTGTATTCATATGATGTATATATATGGCTTTACTTATATACATATATACCACTACCTGTGTAAACTGTATAGTGCATATACTGTACAGCCCTAATCAATGGCACTTGTCACTTAATGATCGCAAACATGACGCATCCATCACCAAAGGAAATTATTCACGCAAAATATATGTCGATCATTTACAAAATTCACTCTTAATTGATCGATAATCAATCATGTCGGGGTTCTTATAAATAGGAAACACAAATATTGACGAGAAAGTTATAAAGATCGCACACGGTTTTATATATTGGGTATAAAGGTCTCTGGTTTAAATGCTGTAATGTGACCAGAGGCTGTTGTTAAGCGGCGGATATAATACCAAATAGAAAAACAAAGTCGGTGTTATATATCCGGACCCAGTATTAATACGTACCCTGCCCCCGGGAGGCCCCATTTTACGTCATTGGTCGTTGACAGATGTGCCTATTAAGACTGATATCCTGACAGGTTACCTCTATGTTATTTATTTACCTTTCGTCGACTTATTGAAAATATCAAAGATTCTAGGGTGTTTTTTCTTGTGATGTGGTCAGCGATAAGATCAGACCCGGGGTCATATTTTTATACGACCCATATCCTTGTTAGACAAATTTAAGTAAAGCAATTAGGAGCACATCTTCAGATTAAGTTTTATCGCCCAGCTAATATATATAATAAACCTAATTTACTGATCACAATTTCTTTCTCATTAGAGCGGTGAGGACTATGACTGAGAGGAAGCTAATAATGTACAGTACATCTGATAAAGACAAGCTTTGGATATCGGTGTTAAACTCGGCGTATCATTTCTGTATTTGTGAAACACTTAACCTAATATAACGTAAACGTCTTCTTTTTCGATTTTTTTTTAATTACTCCCGGAAAAGTGATGAAAGATCCAAGAGGGTTCTCAGGATAATTTCCCTCCCGTGTACAACTTTTATTTAAAAATGTTGCTGTTTCACAAATTTCTTATTTTGAACAGAGATGTAAAGCATCACACGCACTGCGGCAGTGTAACGTACGAAGTGTCCGGACATTAACATACGAAGTGTCCGGACATTAACGTACGAAGTGTCCGGACATTAACGTACGAATTAGTGTCCGGATATTAACGTACGAATTAGTGTCCGGACATTAACGTACGTTCATGTCCGGACATAATGTTTAGTAAGTCTAAACTATTCTCATCTCAGCTTTGCCCTGACTCTTTATCTAAATGGTACCTACTGGTGATGTGCAATTATTACAATCAATTTGCTATTTTGTGGAGTGATGATACTTCACTTTTGCCATGTAATGGGTTAAGGATATAATTTATTTATAAATGTAAGATATCAAATATATGTATTTTCTAGTCGCATGTATTATGTTTAAACATGAATAATCTTCCTCAAATCGAGTACTCATTACCGTGAAATTCGTGGAGAAATATACTTGTCAGACAGGATGATTTTATCAAAATCGAGAAGTGATTGAGACTGGTCGTTTGATTACCACCGCCGACGTCTCGGATCTCCTAGTAAAGCTTTGATGTAATCTCACAATTTCCTTTCCGTTTTTAATGGAATTGAATTATTGATTGTTGCGCATGCTTCGTACTGGATGCCGTATCTCGGTAGACACGTGCGTCCTAACGCACGAGCATGGTACGTGCTTGAACGTGTATCGATCCTGTGTGGTCTGCGACACACAAGACAATGTCACTGAGGCAGAGAATTCCATTTTGGCTGATTGGTGTTCAATATTTCCTTAGTCTCTAAACACGGCGATTTCATATCAAATAGTCAAGTTCAATATGATTTACCGTTCAGTTATAAAGTGAATGAACTTGTAGGGACTATATCTATAGCATTGCCCGAGAGCGGGATGTGGTGAATTTACGAAGGTTTTTGACGTGGGCATGCTAAGATTTTAATATGTGTTAACACATACAACTAATGTATTAAAACTTAGCACGCCACCACCGTCAATGAAAGATAATAGAATATATCACTCATGTGTGACGAGGACGGAGAATCTCATTCCGATGGTATTAAAGTTTAGGGTTTGCAGTGTGCTAAACTTCAAAAATCTTAACCCGAAGGTCAATCTATCTCTGTCTGCATCACATAGGAGATCGATTTAGATTTTTTTTCTTTCACACCTTTCTACTGTTAAACTAACACGTTCGGGTTAACTCAATGCACACCACAGACAAAATGTATGGCGCTACCCTGGTCATTTACAGAACAAAAATAAAGCGCGTGAGTTGTCTTTCCCTGGGTAGGTAAAGGTAGGTTTATCTTTTCCCAAGCATATGGAGAAGAAACTATTGTCATGGAGATGAACATGCGTTGCCATGGATATGAACCTGTTTTGTTATGGCTCTGATGTGATGTGTGTCAGCTTTATGTTTCGGGACATATGTTTCGTACACTCGCTTCGCATCCGGCTTGGAAAGTCTTATCTATTTATAGCAAATATAAAATCTACTAACCGGTTTATCCAACAACTACATGAGCGTTTTTGTATCGTATGGTATCGACGCTTAATTTGAACACAGGGTCACGTTACAATCACACACATGCTATACTGATATGGGTCACAACACACAATACTTGTGTATGTTTATGTGTGTTGTGACCCATATCAGTATAGCATATGTGTGATTGTAACGTGACCCTGTGGTCTGAAGGAGTTGTGTTTTCATATTAAAAGGGTTAAAAATAGAAACAGCACGCACATGTACACTCACAAACACTCACAACGAAATGGAGGCAAAGTGTCACAAATAAACATATCTTTGAAAATCTATTTTAAATGACAACGCTTAAATACGACTTGTCCAGCAAAGCATTAACCATCACGACATTGGTAGATTGATACTCGATCTGGACTCCCTATTCTATGGAGAGGGAACTGGTACGGTCCCTAGATACGCATGACATTGACTTAATACCGTATAAAAGGGACTTGAACGCGAACCGATGATTTATGACACAGGGACATGAGAATTTGTTACAGCTATATTTGGACATGAACTAAGGTGTTTCGAGTAATTTTACATGTTTTAGTGTTAAGGTCGACTTTTTAATTTTTACCGGGCATTTTTACCGAAGTTCAATCTAAACCCCCAAAACATGTAAATTTACTCTGAACACCTTAGTTTATGTCCAAATAAAGCTGTAACAAATCCTGTGATTTATGAGTGTTTAAATGGCGCAAAATTATCTTTGTAAATCTTCCCATAAATCGCTTTTTTGAGGTATTAATGAAAACCTATTGTTTTTTAACGAGTTGACAGCGGTACTCTACAGAGCCAGCTGGTTCTCGTAATGGATCATCGTCCGATTTAACGAGCGAGTTATTTTTTAATCATTCAGGTCTCCACTATAGAATTTGAGATATTTCGGAATAAAAAGAAATACTTATAATTATGTGGTAGCATATTCAAGGCATTTTCAGTTTTTATTTGTTATTTTAAAAACGTTGTTCTTTGATTTTTGATTACAAAAATAACCCTAAAAACGAAACGTCTTATTCTTATTCTTTTTACCAGGTACCGAAACGACCGGGTCTGTATCAAAACGACTACAAAGATTCTGTCTTAACATTATCTTTTGACACACTGTTTCTCTCAAGCGAGCATTTGGTAAGTAAAAATGAAATATTCCGGACGAATTTCATAAACTTCATCACACGAACCTGATAATTTAGCTAGGCCTATATTAGGACCTAAATTGAGGTGTTCAAAGTAAGGTTACATTTTTGAGGGGTTTTAAATCAATTTTCGGTAAAATGTCACACCTAATGATGGTATATACGAACAAAAATTGATCTTAATCCCTGTGAACCTTTTGTGAAAAGGGAGGGGAACTTTGAGTGAATTTTAATTGCGAAAAGAAACCAAACAGAGTGAAAAACAAGTAGTTACAGTAAGTTTAGCGGAATAACAAATGGGCTATTTCTACTGGAACGAACATTTAGTGTCATGACTAAACAGCGAGCTGAATAAACGGTGTGGTAGTGTTGCGCGGTGGTGACTTGCGTTGAGTACAATGAATCTCTAAAAGGGGGCACCCGGTAGGTCAAGGGAGATTACTCTAATATGTAAACATGTAAACATAAGGAATGCATATCAATAATATGGAGGACCTGTGAAACCAGCTAACGACCTATACGCCATAAACTGATCATGATGTTTCTATAGATATACCGGTATAATACTTGAGTTATGAAAGCGTTTAATCTGACACATATATAAAGAAATTATATCTTGTGTTAATTTGCGTAAGTACACAATGTTGACCTTATAATTATATCGTCGATATCGTTAAGCAATTCTGAATTGTAAACAAATGTGGGCGGGTTTGATGTATGCTAGGTTGGTATTGCAAGCTTTTTTTAAATTGAAATATTAAGGAAATATTGCAATATATCAAAATATATTGTATTCCTAAATGAATCAGTATAGTTCGAGTTAGTTAGAGCTTAGATATTGAAGTTATCACACCAAGCAAGCTAAATTTGGATAATATTTATTCAATCAAAAAAATATTTCTGTGAGATTATTTAACATTTGTGATTAAACTCTACATAGAGCCCAACATAAGATAAGACAATATATTGCAATTAAAAATATATATTGCAGTGTATGTATTGCTGTAAAAATAGGGCCTATTGTAATATATTGTAATATTGATACCCACCTCACAGGTCCAGTACACTCTGCCGATTGAGCTATATAGCTGTAAAGACCTATAATAGCTCTATTGACCTATCTGAAATAGGTCTTTTGAGCTATTTTCAAGTGATTTTCTTTTTTTAAAGAAAACGAAACAAAGTCGCTTTTTAAAGAAGATTGTATCATTAGGTTGATAACAAAAGACATTAAATATAAGTATTCTTTTTAACAAATAATGATGTAAAAAAATCGGAAATTTTACATTTTTGAAAAATGAAAATAAACATCTAACTGTATGCTCTTTGTAGTCAACATTACCATAAACCTTATTATTTTATGCGACTTTGCTTTAATTTAATGAAATTTGAAATCTGAGAAAATATAGCTCAATACAGCTATAATTTATAGGTGTATAAAGCTATATAGGTCTTTATAGCTACATAGCTCAATTGGCAGAGTGTACTGGACCTGCCTCAAGATAGTAATGATGTTTGTAGGTTTCTGATATAATGGACTCATTTACCCTTGATATCTATATAAATACATTTCAATAAGATAATATCAATTAAAACAGTTCATATATAAAACCTTTATAGAGTGTAATAAATAAAGAGTGGACATTGCTAGAAATCTTGACCCTCTTACTGTTTTGTTCATAAAGTGATTTGACATCTATTAGATCTGTGTTATATACTGTACTGTTCAACAATTCTGAAGGTAAACAAATATCTTTCTAATAGACATCATATTGATCCTCCAAAAGCTTTAGGTATGCCGTCTTTCAATTGTGTGACCATTTAAATTATCACTTGAGTCGCAGACTTAAATAGCATCTAATCATCTAATTCCATGCTAGAGTACCAAACTTCATCATTCAGATCACCAGATATTCATGATATTTTTTCAGACTTCTGCGTCTCACTGAAAGAAGATACAATCTATCTAATAGCTATGAATTGTCACAAGTCATTTTATATTCTTTAAAGATTTCATAGCCATTTTTGAACATTTTCAATGCTCTGTACTAATATTTTCAAAATGGGACTTTTTTAAAAACAGAATATCATCAGAGACAAGATGATAGATCTATAGGTTTTTACTGTAAATCTTAAGTTAATCTAGTAAAGAACAACTCATATTATCTTAAACTTCCATTATGTTCACAGATCTGTGGACAAAGTCAGTGACAGTCATCTGAGAGGGCAGGATGGGGGTAAGCTTTAACAAGCCGAGGATCGTCACAGTGAGAGGGAGCTACTACAAGGAGAGCGAGAGGGCTGTCCCCCTTTATACCTACACGCCGTTCCCTGAACGCTGGAACAGACCCACAGGCTCTCTTATAACCAGGGTCAAGGCTGTACCGAATGTCAAAGGTAAGTTTTATGTGTCATACACATTTACACGTAGAACTTTATCTTGAGAGAACATACACATCTTTTCTTTGACTGAAGTTTATCGATAATGAAAGAGGGAGAAATGTAGCATACATGCTGACCAATGTGAAGGCCATTTCACATCTCAAGGGTGAAGGTCATTCCACAAAAAAAAATTGTCTCAAATTTCTCAGGTTAAATCAAGCCTGTTCCTGTGAAAACACTTAATGGCAATGAGGACAATTAGCTAATTGGATTAATTCCAGCTGCTGACTAATATGTAATCAATCTAAGTCACAAAATCTTAAATTTGTTCAATCATATCTTCATAGCTATGTTATCTCCTTGGTAGTTTTACATAACATTACATCTACAAAATTAAATAAAGTCACTGGAATGGCTAAAAACTAAAAAGTGCATTTTTTTCTGCAGAAGAAGAGAACGACCTTTACTGGTGGACGGACTGCGAGTTTCTACCAAACAATGACAGCACAGTGGTCACTACATGTTCCTCCTTCACTATACAGCCAAACCAGGCACTGACCGTTAGTCGGGCCATACAGCCGGGTAAAGTCTGCCTGTTTGATCTGTCATCAGAAAAAAACATAAGTAAGTATAGCCACAACAAAGTCAATAGGTAATGATGACTTTTTAAGAGCTGTTCCTAATATGTTTTAATACATGAAGTAATCTAAAATCTTCATATCAATGGAAAAAATATTGTAACGAATACAGGTACCGTATCATATGTCAATATTGCTGGTCAGTTCATTACTTTGTAAAAATTGCAATCGTTTTATTAAACACATATATCGTCAATCAAATCAATAACGATTAATCATTGTATGGGGTTTCCTTGCCGGAAGTTCATGCATAGGATTACTCTCCGGGTAAAATAGTCAAAAGGTCAAGGTCAACTTTACTATCAATAGCAAATCACTATATGCACATTGACAAACTCCAAATTGCTTGCTTTGGATTGCTTTTAAAATACAAAGCATGTTCTTAACAGTACATCTATCTAGGAACAATGTAATTTCATGGTTTAGAACAATAAGAGGGTTCAGCTATCATAGTATTGATCACTTGTTTCATTAGAGAAATATTTCTTACACTTTTATTACATTATCATCCCAGGAGATGTCATTCTTCAAATAACTATATGTATCTATCGTTTTAAAGGATACAGTAGGGTAAAGGAAATTTGATATTAATATCTTTGTGTTTTACATACGGTTTGTTATCGAATATCCGAGAGTCTGTATCGAATGTCCACGAGTCTGGTTCAGCGATGTCCCTATCTAGTGCCTAATTTTATTGTGACATCTTTCTGTGTCTTCAGAGTGTGGCTATTACCGCCAAGCATCCGTGGCATCTTTCCCCAAGTTACAGACATTCCCAGACGGAGACCACATTGTGTACCTTGGCTCTACAAGTGGAGATATCAAGGTGATGTCCCTTGAAAGGTCTACATTTCACAGTCGGGCCCAAGATATACACTTTCGGGCGTACAAATATGTGGCTGTATCGCCAAGTGGCTGTTATTTCGCCATCATGGCGCGTACCAGCCGGCAGTATCAGTACGAGTTACTTATATACGACTCACATTTTGTAACTCGCGCAGAAAGTGTCATCGACTGCTGTAAGATGAATGATTTCAGAGGTTCCAGAATGAACCTTGAGCACACGGTATGTAAATGGTCACCTGACAGTGAGTATGTAGCTGCCGCGATATCACATGGCCATCTTTGTATTGTGTCACGCAGGTCACAGGCATGTGTGTGCGATGTTTTCACCAATGTCATTCCAGACAGAGCCCTCAGCAGAGGGACAACCTTTGATTTTAATCCCATGTCATGTCACCGGATGGTTTCCGTGGGAACAAAGGATCGCTTCCTGTACATTATTGACATACAAGAGGGAAATGTTTTGTGTCAAACAGAGCATGCATGTGGGGACCATGCCATTGACGTTGTAAAGTTTTCCTGCGATGGCCTATTTGTAGGGGTGGCCCTACATAACTTCTCAGTACAGCTGTTTTCTCCAGTCGACTGTTCTCTCCTTTATAGCTTTAGTATGAAGGACAGTCTTCCCTCGCTCCACAACTCCATGGGACCACATGCCTCCGTCCTCAATCTCACTTTCTCCTCCACTGGGGAGCAGGCTGTCACAAGTACAGCAGATGGATACGTTTCCTTCTGGCAGCTGCCCCGTAAAATGGAACTTCAGGTTATATGTAAATTCAAAATTTTGTCCTGTGTTAGCCTCGACCGAGTGTCAAGACTACCACTTCCTCCGCGATTAAAGGACTTCCTTCTGTCACTGCCTACCATGTTGTAGACTATCAGTGGGTAAGAGTCAGTAGCTCGCACCTAGTTCTCGTCATATCAACTTCTCAAGTCACTTGTAACAAATTAATGTAAAATTATGAGATACATGTACAGTGTTCTGAAAAAGATTCAGGTTCTGGGCAATATATATCCTTTTTCCCTTGAGAAACATATCTTCTTTAGCCATTACAAGAAACATAATATAGCCTTTATCACTATTTATGAAATTTCATTCTATTAGTGTGTTGTTTCAACAGAGTTATTCCAAATAAATCAACTCATGCTAGTATGCATTTTACAGAATTATAAAGGTTCGAAAACCAGAAAAACAATTGTGTCAACCACCACAAATATTTCATCCAAAGCATCAAAACAAGATACTAAAAGAGAATTAAGTTTATCTAAGCCGGAAAATCTCCATTTTGTTACTTCCTCTTCATAGTAGAGTGAAAAATACTCAAAATTGAAAAACCTCAAAGCAACTATGAATTGGAACTCTTCTTAGTGATGATGACAGTGTGCAGGGAAGACAGAGTTATCCTTCTTTGATTGTGTTAAAAATCCTTTTAATGTTATATTTTTTTTACATATTTTATCTTTTTGATGAAATGAAGATTTTCTTTTGTAGAAATTTTTATATGCAATACACTTTAAATGTTTCCTTTTTGGAAAATTTGATCAATTATGGTTCTGTGATAAGATTATTGTTACATTATATCATGTTTAAACTACATGTTACATGTACCGTGTTTGCCATTTTTAGTACCCAGGTTGCTTAAAAAATTGGCTTAAAGAGGGGCTCTTATTTAGATAACAAATGTGAGGTACCATGGAAAAGGTTGTGCACATTCAATCAACTTTCCAGTGTGTCTGGAGGTTTTGAAATCAAATGTTTCATCTGCCTCTTAGGAAGTTCAGCCATGATCACCAGACATAGATGATTGCTTTAAAGTGTAATTATTATAAATCATTGACTTGTGAGCACTGGGAGGGTGAGGGGGTTTATATGATTTCAATTCTTCTGGAAAAAAAGGGAGGGGCACTTATACAGGAAGGGGCACAATTCACTGCAAATATGGTTAATATGGAACATGTCTGATCACTTCCATATAACCTTGTTAAAGAAACCATTTCAACATGAATTACTGACGGTATTTTGACATTACCCGTAGGTTTATAAATTTTTGTAACATTTGTCTATGCATCTCCTGCCTTTTATCAAGACTATTTCCAACATGATTAAAAATGACGTGTGGATCCATGCTTCAATGTTTAAAGCTTAATTTAATTATTGTTTATTGTAATCCAAGGAAGAATGTCAATGTCTAATAAAGTTAGTTTTAAATGAAATGTTACATTGTTAAGAGAGATTACTGGTCATAAATATACAAATTGATGTCCATGTGTTGATAACAATGCAACATTCAATGCAAAAACATTGTAGCTCACCTTGCCTACTCGGTACTGTCCAGAGCAGGGTCTGGGGGCTGCCTAGGCCTGCAGCGTGTCTGGGACAGAGTCATGGTAGGGGGCTCAGGAAGAAATCCCCATTCCACCAAACAGAAAATGATTTTCAGGGATTTTAAATGCGGGTAGGCATCAGAATGACGTTGATGATAACTTCAACATTAATTGAAAACTGTCAGCACTTTCCATTAACGAGAAAATGAAGAAAAAATAAATCTAATTCTCTTTTACGGAAAGTGTCAACGGTTCCAGTAAGCTTATCAAAAATAAACTGGATGGCCCAGTAACAGATCATAAATGATGGTTCGGGAAATGGGAAATAATTATTTAGAAGCACATATATATGTGAAATTTATGTGTAGACAATGATTTAACTATCACGGGAAAACCCCAGAAACTATATTATTAAGAGATTAGTTTGTAGGCAAGTTCTTCCACTGCCTAGTGGCAGCTATGCCACTGGAATAACTGAACAAATGGATTGATCGTTGTGTATGACTCAAAATGTACTCTCGTTGATGAGCAATATTATATTGAAGTGTTTCCATTCCTTTAAATTAATTAAACTAATCAATATGTTCTTCTAATGTTGTTGTTACATGTTCACAAAAATTGTTATATTTTTACAGTTGTGTTTATGCAAATATAAGTCAATGAAAAGTTGTCAGCGCTGTTCTTAATTTGTTTGAAATAAAAAAATACTTTTTCTGCCTTTCCTGCTGTTTGGTTTTGTGTTACCAGAAGTTATCATTGAACAATAGAAGTCAAATACCAATCTGTTAATGCCCACTTAACACAGTAAACCACACTTTAACCTTGTTTGGTTATATATCTAGGCAACATTTTATAGGACTTCAGATTTTGAGGCTTAGTTGTGGTCAAATGAGCTTGGGGTGGTAACACTTTGCCAATAATGGTCGAGTTAGGAGGAATATTAACTTAGTCGAGGTCTATAACATTCAGAGGAGAATCAAACCTAGTTAAAGTCTGTTGATGAAATTTAAGACTGGTATACATCTTGGATAAGGTTGTATGAGGAGTAATATAAAGTTAAGCATGGTCTTTTGAGTATAGTTTAGTTGATTAATAGGGGTATGTCATTTTGTTCTTCTGTGGTTTGCAAGTAAGTTACTGTATAATGGCAGCAAAAGTGAGTAAACAGCACACCATGTATAGTGAAGGGAAAAATTAGTGCTGGGCATTGTAAATTTTTCTTTGGAAGGACGAAGGTTTCCTCGGTATGCAGTATATATAAAGTAGGCCTGTAGGCGAAAAGTACTCATGAGTTATCTTTCTTGATACTTCCATTCAGCATATCGATGTTGTGATCAATATTTGTATTCTCAAGTATATGTACCTTTCATTGAAAATGACTTAATTCACCATATATATTTATATTTTGCAATAAATCAAATGTACTATTTCTATTTCATTACTGTTTTCCAATTAAACTTCGTGTGAATTCAGGACTGATCGTGTCAGTATCCATCAAACATCTGTAAGTACTTTAAGTTGTGGACCAGGTTTGGCCATGATAATATATGTGAAACCATTAGATACATTGTATATAGACGTTAGTTTGTGAATAACATATCCCACATTCCAAGGTTTTGGTGGGTATCCTGAGTTTCTGAGTTGTACTATATAAGTGATATGACACTATAAATGAGCAGTTAGAAACAAAGGACCATAACAAGTAGAACAAAAAGACAGCACATAAAAACACACACAGAGGTACTAACTAGAGTCGTGTGGGAAGATGTACCCGAGAAGGATCCTTTATTTCCCTTGAAAATTAAGTAGGACTTTAAAAATTACCTTAAAAATATCACACACCCATAATATGTCTTACGGATATAACAAATATAGCACACTCTTTTAACAACACCACTGTATACCAGAAATTTCACCCAGCCAAACTTTCCCGCTTCGCCAAAATAATCCATATTTGCCTGTTGATAATTTTGCCGTTTACATTCAATTACTAAGTACATGTATATTAGGTTGTTTACAGAAGTTTGCTGTAATGGTAAATTTGTCCTCATTGCAGTCGACGAAAAAGGTGAGATTTAAACTGCAACAATAGTTTCCTGGTATACAGTACACTCTCATAAAATATATAACACTCTCATAAAATATATAACACTCTCATAAAATATGTAACACAAAATATATATCATACTCACCAAAAATAAATCAGACATAAAAATGTATAAATTTCTGGTAAAATATTACCTGCTCACATATTGTGCTCCCCTAAAATATCACACTCCCATATAAATGGTATATTACCCATCTATAATATATCACTTTAACACACACATTGTAACAATCACATAAAATATTGTGTACTCATGATCATGGTAAAAATTTAATTAATTGGGGATAAAAGATATTGATTTAAAAATAAAACATGATGACTTTTGTAAATACATATTCAATCCATGCTGAATTGTTTGATGTGTGTTTTCGTTTTCATTTTTAAAAAGGTTCAGAAAACAATGATTTAAACTATGCCTCCAAGTATTATATTATAAGCAAAAAGACTGCAATAAAATATGGATACTGTGCAGTTACAAAAACATCAAGTTATTTATAATAATTATAAATGTTTCACATCAATTCAGCTAGAGTATAACACTACTAGTTATGATCTCTAAGACTGTTGGAGTTATCTCCCTTATACATTTGATTTTGTTTTTCATTAAAAAAAGTTATTTTGAGCAAATAAAAAACATCTGAATGTATTGGCAGACATAGTATTTAAAACCCATATATTTAAAAAAAAAAATCCTGTGTTATTGTACAATAAACATTAAAATTTCTACTTCATAAATTCCTGAGTTGAAAAACCCCACTTAATACAGAATAGCAAACACAATGTCATTTATCCCAAACTTTTCCATATTAAAATAGACCTGATTGTGCAGGATGCATAAAACTTTGTCTTTTTTTTATAGAATAAAAAGTGTTTAATACATTATGCATTATGTTTTATACAGTATTAAAAATAACTCAATATAATACCTGCCTGACCTGTCCCTGAAGACAGATAACATCCTCATATTAATATACTAATATATACCTAGGGTAAATATCAAACGAACGTCTTAATTACAGTTGTTTTTTTGTAAATGCCTACAAATATCACAATATCTAAATAGAAAGTCAGCAGAAGACCCTGTGTTACAATTATAGAACCATATATGTATTATAGACCTGTGTTCTTTAAGCAGGGTAATGTATTCTATATAGACACAGGCCCCTGTGTCATATAAACAATTACCGGTATTTTAAAGCTCTGTGTGCTCTATAGGCAGGGCAACGTTTCTTACAAATGAGGTCCCTATTTGTTACAGACAGAGTGCCCAATAGCCCTGTGTTCTATAGGCAGGGCACTTTATTCTTATAAACACAGAAGCCTGTGTCTTAAGACATTGTGTTCCACAGTTCTATGTTGTATTGGCAGCTATATATTCTATATTGACAGATACCTGTGTCCCATACACCTTTCTTACTACTCCTTGGTTGCGATGCCCATACAACAGGGTCTGATGAGGAACAACTTTGTTGGTGCTGTGAAGTATTTCATGTCTAGGGTCTTAAAGCCTGCTGCCTTTATGGTACCTCCAGTGTCCCTGGTCACTTCTCATCCATCAGCAAACATACGCCACGCTGGATTTATCAGACGTTGAAAGAAATAGATGATGCTTCTTTTCTCTGCACCCACATGGTCCATGAAATAATATTTACCATTCTGTGTTTAAAAATAAAAAATAAAAGCAACATCATCAGCTAAAATTTTGATGTAAAACATCAATATTGTAGTGCAACAGCTTGATGTTAACATTTTACTGTTTTAACAATTATAACAGTCCATTGAGTGTGTTTGCAATGTTTCATTTCAACAGCACACATACATCGGTTGTTACACGTACAAGGGTACAATCACTCAAGTGACACATAAAATATTATTTAATCGTTTATACTGGTTTGTTGTATTTGGTGAATTAATCCACTGGTGGCAATATATACATACATTTGGTGGTAATATATACATTTGAAAGGTACTGAATGTTGTTTAATGAAATTTTGGACATTTTGATAATGTTAATTTCACAGAATCATAGGTTTACATTTACATTTACGGCGATACTGCAAAGGGCCGTCGAACAGCATCAACTTGCAGGTAGACTAGGTGGATAATTCTAACACCAATCACAGGTATCATTTAATTTATGCACAGTTGTCAGGGTTTCATAGGCAAACAAATATATATATGTATATATAATACCTAGAACCCTTTGGTCCATTGCATAATGGTTCTGTGCACGTGATGGGCATCATGGGATTGGGATCTTGTCATTTTCTATATATTTTACTATGACACCAAGACAACTGTGATTCATGTAATAAGACTCATTGCATTTATCCTTAAATAAAAGCATAGAAAATCGATCGAGAAAGTATATGGTTCAATTGGATATTCTGAATTATATCGTAGTTAATTATATGGGATATTACACGGCCAGTAGGCAGACACAGGTAACGTACGTGTTTGAGGACTCGCTTGACCTCCTTCAGGACTCGGTCTGGATCTCTAATTATAACCGTACACAACACCAGTGTGCTGACCACTACGTCATAGCTACAGTCGGCCACATCAGACATGTTCTCCCCGAAAGCTTTGATGAAGACCACTGACCACGGCATTGTTCTCCACGTAAGGTTCAAAACACGGGTTAGGGTCAAGACAGGTGACTTTGGTCCCAGCAGGGTAAAACTTAAAGTTAACACCTCCTCCTGCTCCGATCTCCAGAACTTTTAATGTCCCAACTGTGGCCTTTAGTTTCTTCATGGAATGGAACAAATCCTTTTTGTGTTCACCAAATATTTTGTTGCTCTTAAAACCAACTCTTGTCACGATCCATGCTGCTAAACGTAAGCGCCAATGTCTGATCCACAGGGAGACCCCTATTTTTTTTATATTACAAATAAAGCGATCCATGCCCCTGTGGTACTATCGGTACATGAATAGCAACCGTTGCCTAACCATTTAACGTAGCATATTTGATTGTTTTTCAATGTCGAAACGTGAAATGGAAATAATCAATCAAACGAAAAAAGCTACCCGATTTGTAAATATAATAATAACGGGAAAAAAATCAAATATTTTTGTCATTATTAGGACATTAACCTTTTAGACCCCTCCACAGAGTCGGGTCAGTTTTTACTTTCTGATAATATTATCATCTAATTGCAACCTCATCATATTAATTCCAACCAAGTTTGTCAATTGAACTATGTCTTGTTGAATGAACAAATATAGTCGAAGGTGTCATTTCCCTACATAAACTAATAAAATTAACAATATCTACCCATTGAGAGTAATTGATCATAGTAAATCTGAGTCTGTGGAAGAAGAAATTTAGTCAACTTTCCCTTTGGGGCCCTTTCAGCAGCATTACTTAATTATTAATACCATCAGATTGCTATCTCAACATAATCATTCCAACCAAGTTTGAATTATTTCCCGATGAAAACGGAGAAATGTAATCAAAATTGTTATTTTACAATGTTAACAATAGTTACCCGCTTCCACTAAGAACGATTTCTACGAAGTTTGAAAGTAATCCATTAACCGGTTCTTAAGAATTAATAAAGAATTTACGGATGTCGCACGACTACAGACGGAAAGGGATATGA